TACTATCTGCTTGATATTCCATAATTAATAAAATTAAATCAAAACTCAAGTATACTACTGTAAAACTTGAGGACACTGTAAGCTCGTTCTTAATAAATAGGATCAAAAGTTAATATTTAAAATTGAAGGTAGTCTTTGTTATCGACGACATCCGGACGTCAAACACGTCAATGTGATAAAAGTTAAAATCAAACGCTATAGAGTCTGTAAATATAGTTTTATTCCTGTTGATGTTGGTCGTGTCAAAAGATATTATGGTAATTTTTGGATAAAGTTCGACGAGGGCTGGAAATGTTGTAGACAATCTATGCTGTTATTTGAAAGTTGTGTAGTTTTCATTACTTTAACTTTATCAAGGCTTTTGCTTGCTTCTGCGATCTTCAAACGGCTTGAATTGCTTAAACATATTCTTTTTTATAAAATGTCTTTAAAAATTTAAGCACGATAAGTTGGGATGGTTTTCTTTCGGTGCGGGCTCCTTTTTGGGTGAAGACGATAGCTTCCGGGTGGGTATTTGGGAGTACGACTGTACTACCCTGGTTCGTTCCGTTCAGGGTTGAAGAGGTTCCTGTATGCAATTGGCCGGTCTAAAACGCCTGGACGGTCCGGTGGTTTTCTTGTTCGAGGGGGGGGGGGGCTCCCCCTTGTCCTTGTCCGACATGGTGTTAACTTACCTAACAAGTGAAGTGTTCAGTACTCTAAGGCCCTATCAGTTCTTACCAAACGAATCGGTAGGCAAAAATGGCACGCGACGCGAATGATAGGGGTGGTGGTAGATGGTATGGCTTCAGCACTATGGGCACTGCCTACCCCTTTCTTAACGAAACGGTTGGGAGGAGTGCAAATAGTGGCACTTTATAAACCGCGACTGGGCACAGTAGAACTCGAGCGTTTTAAAGTGCCAAGAATCTACCTAGGGGCGGTGACCTCCACGCCTCTCAGAGTGTACAGACTCGACGATCAGCGGAGTATGTCGTACCAGCGGTTATGCTAACTACAAATAACGCACACCTAGGAGATCCTTACATTACACCTGGGGACTCCGGCGTCGCCGCCACTACGGGCGCGACCGTCTTGTGATCGCTTGCAGGAGCCATTCGCCGCCACTCCGTATATAGTAAAGGTTCAAACTTAATTAACTCACGGAACGCCGAATCACCAGCGGAAACAATGCGCAGCGCACCTTTGACTGCACAAGCTACTACAAGTGCCTTATTTAGTTTTAGCTGATTGGGAACTTCTCTAAATAATTTTTACCGGAAAGTCTTGACTCTGTACGAATCCTTTACCAAAGAAAAAAAAGATTGATTAATATCAGAATTCTAACTATAGCTTTTAGAAGGCTAGTTTTGAGGATGTTTTTAGGAGGACGATACTAAAAAAAGGTTGATTAGAAACGTTGCTGACAATACATGTTTTATTGAAAAACTATTGTATTTTTATATGAATTTGCTTGTCTATTCAGTGCTGGACACAAAAATGCACACAAGTGAACTTTAAAAGTATTTATTTGTGGCAACATTACAGCAATTGCAGCTGTTTAACTAATAGCTTTTTCAGCTTCTGACTGATTTGTTTTTATAGTATCTGTCATTTTGCTACAAGCGCATGTGTAATCCTGATATTTTTGGATAATTCGAACAGGACCAATAATATGTTTAGGGCTAAGTTCACTACGTCTGTCGACCAGATAGACTGAATTGTAAAAAATTGTTTATTTTTCCTTTCTGAGATCAAAGGCAGCCGGTTCACGTATCAAAAAAATGGAGTTTTGGCGGGAACTTGACCACTCACGGAATACTGCTCTTTTGTTTCTGTTTAAATAATGGTCTCAAGAGGGTTTTGATACACAAAAGTGGTATAATTTTAGGTATTAAATGTCTTCGTATTATGTCATGTAAACTTATTGTGGAAACTATTAAACATATACTCCGTTGGTGATTTGAACCTCAAGAAAATGTTTCTGCTGAGGTGTTACAAACGTCACTGACTGTCTGCTCGCTCGAGCTGCAGTTTAAATCTACCAAAAGCCTTACATAATGTGAATAAGTTTGAAAACAAATTACTATAAAGCATATTATGTTTCTTGACACTTACAAAAGTATAAAAGTATGAGTCTTTACTAAAGAAAAACGATTGTTAACAATCAGAATTCCAATAATTGCTTCGAGAATGATAGTAGTGAGGATTTTTTGGGTGGTCGATACTTAAAATATTGATTAGAAATGATGCAGACAATTCATGCTTATAAAAAAACTTATATGAATTTTTTTTGCGCCCGAAGCAAATAAGGGCAACCCTGGTAACGGGGGTGGGAGGTGGTGAATGCTCATGGCATACCACGCAGCCGGCTGCGCGGTTATGTGGTATCTTTTACCCACTAAATACCACCTTTTGGGATTGGCTTATCGATCTGACGAGAGATCTTTAAGCCGTAAATGGACGTGACCCTCCTCGGCAGAAAGGAGGGCGGCGACTAGTCGCTTAGAAGTGTGTGTGTGTCTAAGTCGGATTACGAGACTTAGAGACTTACGAGAGAGATTGTGTTAAGTAGGCTCGGCCTGATCCGCCAGGAGGCAGTTCAGGTCAGCCGAAGTCTTGTTGGGGGGGAGGGGTCCGAGAGAGGATTTCTCGGTCTGCGCACGTTATAGCAAGTGTGAAGAGGGGCTGCGTAGGCGAATGAGGCGATTTGAGTGGGACTCTGAGGCTTTGAAGAATCTTTCAGAGAGTGATTTGAGGAACTGCTGAATTGTTGGGAGCTCTAAGTCTCGGTGGAGGTCGGCGTTACGGACGGATAATAGAACGAGTTCGTAGCCCGTAGAAGAGATTTTGAACTATTTGAAATTCATTTACAAAGTTGGGTTTAGCATGTGCGAAAATGGGGGCCGCTTAGGTAATGATGACGTTTGGAGTCAGAGCGTAAGTGGTTGCATTTACTACTAATGAGTTCGGGTGTATCTTAGCACCCTCAAAATAGCGCCGAGATATTTCCCTGAAATATTCAGAGATCGTCGAATATTTCAAGGAATTCAAGGATTAGAAGTTATTCAGTCTCTGTGCAAGTCCGAGTTTCGCTGATACCACCGAGCTCCGGTGGCTATGCGAATGAGTCTACGAGTGATAACTTTACATTGACATATGAATAACCTTTGTGATCTCATCAATGACTCCATCTAACTTTGTGGGTGTTAATGTTGATAAGTTAATGCTAAGGATATCTGAAGGAGTCATTTGTAAATGTTAAGTACTGTTGAATGTAGGTCAGCATGCTTTTTGGACCTGTATTAGAAAGTTGATGTATTGTTCTAGTTACTGGTACAGAGATATGGTAATTTATTTTGTACACTATAGCATTGCGTCGTGATGTGGTGTGGGGTTAACTTGCCGGTCATTGATGAGCTGGGAATGTGATTCAGAGACGAGGGTAAGATCGATGATGGAACTACGACACCGGCCGTGTGTGACCGTCTCAAACGTGGGTGTATGTCCGACTTCCACACTGCTAAACCGTTACCGTATACTAAGTCTATAATGTCGTTTTCCCCGACTTACACTGTAAAGTTAGTTTAGTTATATTGTTTTCCCCGACTTACACACTGCTAAACCGTTACCGTATACTAAGTTATAATGTGTTTTCCTAAAGTTAGAGACGGATTATTAGACTTGGGTTACACTAGTATATACACATACATAAGTTATTTTGTAAAAAGTAGTTTTACTTACGTGGAATATGAATTCTACTAAATAAATAATATTTGCTAATGAATAACTAATTAAAAACAAGCCAATAAAAGAAGAAACCTAACATAACCTTTTCTACCTATAAAATATGTACAGAGAGACTTTATATTGCTCCAAAATGCTCCTTTAATATAATCATTGGTTTTAACATTCGTGCGGAGTCAGCTCTTATCATATTAATTTTTTCCTGCCTCATAAGAGTGTCGTCCATTTGTGCTATGTTATCAAACTCTACGCGCAACTTGTTGTTTGAAACGGGTTTAATTTTCACCGGTGGGTAGTTGAAGTCTCTGTACCATATATTGTGACGAAAGAGTTCAACTGCCTCTTGTCTTGTCTTGACCTTGGTCGCCGGAGTAACAATGATGACCGGCCTGGATATAGGCACTGCAGGGTGAGGGGTAGCTACTTGGAGGGGTTGCAATTGGTTGTTGCTTTTATGAGGCTTTGCGTCGCCTTGAATATTTCTTTTATAGCGTTTTTAATAAGGTGTTTGCTTGCTGAGGTGACACTCTTTTCCTGTACTGCTTTATCGATACATTCTATTAACTTTTTAATAACCAGAGCGAAGGATTCTATGTCTGTGATATCCTCAGCTGAAGCCGGAAAGGAGGGGGTGAATTCTGAGACAAGAGCATTGTGTCACCATTTAATAAAAACTGTCAACAACTGTCGTCAGATTGTCACCAATGTAACGACTCGTAACCGGGTGATGTGCTAACGCATGAGCGGTAAAGTACCCAGGTTATAATGGATCACTAATCATAGGTGTACACAGTCACTTTTAACATAAAATATATACTTTCTGCTCTTATACGTGGCTATTCGGCGTCCGTGATGTCTTTTTTTACAATTTTCTCTTTTCTGGGTGTAATCTCGTTATGTACGTTGAATTTTTTAAGACCCATTCTTTTAAAATGTCTTTTCGCACCACACAAATTGATCCTCACAGGTGATAACGCATCTGAATTTTGATTCGTAATCGAGGATAGATGTAGATGTCTATGGGCCACAGCAACCACTGAAAATCAGGTGGACCGTGTGCTCGTTTGATGAAAAAAAAATGAAATTCCATCTGATGCTATGAAAAAAAGCTTAACCTTACCTGTCATGCGGGCCCCTTCCAACGCCAGGTCCGTAGCCTCCATATGCGTCATTATACTATCATAAAGGTCGTCTTAATAAGGCCTCCTGTAACCTGTATATTCATATACATCGTATCTACTTACGTATCTTTCGTCGTATGTATTTAGGTCTGGTTAATATCCATCGTAATACGGCCTCCTTTCTCTATAAAGATTGTCCACTGAAAATGGTGTTTGAAATTTCACCCTCTTCCTTTCACTTTTTACAGCATACACAACTTTCTCACATTGGACACACTCATCTTTATCTGTTACTTTTTCTGTCTCTTTTAACTTCTCACCGATTGATTCCCATTTGTGAATACAATTATCGAGACTTTTACTAACTTTATTTAAATGCACTGCTGATATAGATCTTTTAACAGGATGTGCTGTTTTTTGTAGAGGTTTTGTGTGTGCATCGGAATCTGTATGCAGTTCCTGCACTTCATTTACTGTTACTTTATTTACTATTTTGGGTTTATGTAACCTTTTAAACACTGAAATTATTTGAGGATTTTGCACTTTTGCGGTACTTTGTGTTGCTTTTGGAGGTTTAATAATTTTTCTATTTTCATTCGGTTTAGTCAGAGTTCTGAATGATCTTGAAGTTAAGCCAGACTTGGAAGTAGCTGGTGAAAAGTCTTTACGAATTGAATATGCTTCTTTCTTGTTATACTTCTTTAAATTTAGTTCATGTAACTGCAAATAAATAAGCAACACATTAGTTATTCCTAACAGAGAAACACAGCTAACGCAGATACTTAATAGAAAGGTAGTTGAAAGCTGATGACGATGAGTTGCATCTTTGCTTCAATGAAAACACAACGCCAGTTGATTTTTCTGTATGCAAGAAAGTCTTCTCCCACAAATGCTGGAGCGTAAGCTATAATCATTTATCATAAATATACTGTATAGTAAAGGTATAATTTTAGGCTTAACTTAAAATAGGGCAAGATGTATAAATTATGCTATTTATAAATTTCTGTTTTGTACCACTCTCATATATAAAAACTTACATGGGACATTTTATAGTGTTACTAATATTGTAGATGACTAATTGTTATATAATAGTATATATCTATAGTTTATAGTCCCCAGCTTAATAAAAAAATTATAACATTTTACCAGCAGAGTGATTGCCATACATTTTCAAGCACAAAACCAAGTTAATTGATTACTGTCGGCACTAACAACATTGTGAATTACAAATTTTGTTTATTTACCAAATGCCCGGCAATTATTAGAGAAAAGAAAAGGAGAAGTGTGAAAAATAAACAGGACAGACAACAGACTGGACAAAACTCAGAAATGAGTAAAGCCTTGGGTTCAGCGGTGGGTTGTATACAGGCTGCAACTTAACTTTTAATAGCAACCACAGTAGACGTATGATGAATGCTTTACAATTACTAATATTAAAAATAAAATTTACTTAACTACTTACCTTCTAATCCTAGCTTTTTCTCGAGCAATTCTTTCATTTCTTACAATTTAAATTTTTTCTTGAACTTAACTTTTTCTTGAGCCATTGGTTCCAGTCAGTTAGGTGAGCCTAATGAGCAGATTGTGCAATTCAATTTCTCTGTAAAATGTACAAAATAGTGTTATTTAAAAATGTTAAAATATATTATCTAAATATACGCATACACAATATATCTATAAAATACACTAAAATCACTAAATATTAAGTACCTCAATCTATTTACTGAATAATAGAAACTTCAAATACCGTCATCTGTTATAATAAATGACGGTTTAAACCTTTTTTCGGTTGAGACGAGCTTTGAGGGAGATGCTTGCGTTTAGGGGCCTGGCTAAGCGGCAATGGCCGTGTGGCGATAAAGCCTCCGGCATTGCTATGGCTATGCCTTGGGTTTCGGGGCTAAAGGTGCAAAAGTATTATAACCGTGCACGGAGACGACGATGACGGGAGCGGGCACCGAAGATGGTGCGAGTTTCGGGGCTGGCAGCTGACAACGCGACACACGTCTTGATCCGCATGTCTGACACGACTTTTACCTGCATACTGTTTTGGTCTCGGCGCTTTGGAACTCCCGCGATAGTTTGCTGGGTGTCCGTCTTCGCGGCAACTAACGCAGCTCGTAACCTATGCTATCTCGGGCTTGCGGTTGCAGTTCCGGTAGTTCCGTGATCGCCTAGGAACTTGATGCCCCTAGGTCTGGTGTAGCAGGTTCTGGCCGAGTGACTGTAAAGTTGGCCCTGCCCCAATTTCGAGGCTTTAATTGTAATCCCAGTTACAGACAGACATTGAATATTTTCCTGCCTTTCGAAGACAGGTCTAAGATTAAATTGTGGTCGGTCTGGTGGTGTATTCTATGAATTTCCGGGAGAGAGCGGGAGAGTTTGGGTCTTGAGATCGTCTAGTATCTAGTTCTGCGTAGATCGAACCAAAAATTAATATTTAAAAATTGAAGGTATCCTTCGTTAACGTCGTAAGGGACTGAGGTATTTGATGTCAGTACGAGTCCTTTACCAAAGAAAAAAAAAGGTTGATTAATATCAGGCTTCTAATTATTGCTTTGAGAAGGCTAGTGGTAAGGATTTTTTTTGGAAGGACGTTACTTAAAAGATTGATCAGAAATTTTGCAGACAATTTATGCTTATAGAAAAACTATTTTATTTTTATATGAATTTTCTTGTCTTTTCAGTGCTGGACACAAAAATGCACACAAGTGAACTTTAAAACTATTTATTTGTGGCAACAATTTCCGTAACGGGAGCTGTTTAATAAATAGTATTTTCAGTTTCGGACTGAACTATTCCAATATTATCTGCCACTTTATTCTACAAGTGCATGTGTATGAAGGAAACAGTGAGCACGTTCTATTTTATCCCGATACCTATTGTGAAATTCGTACAGGATTAATATATATATTTTTTATTTTTTTATATATATATATTAAATAGGGCTAAGTTAAATACATCATTCGACTAGTCAAGTAGAATTATGAAAATTTGTTTAATTTGATTTGTTAACTTTAATTTGTTGTGGACATTCATGATCATTTTTAAAGTCTTGGTATTGTGTAGTTTTAAAGTTGTGTAGTTTTCAATTTTACAACTTTATCAGGGCTTTCACTTTTATGTGTAGGGCTAACATGGCAAATGAGAAGCCTTTAAATAATAAGATGTATATAATTATATACATATATGTATTGCATATGTAACGTATTGTCATTTAAGTCAAAAAATGACTTTACCTACAAGATGTGTTAGATGGCGCATTTAGAAAGCAAATTTAGTCTTAATTTTCTGAAGGTTTTTAATTATACCGCATGTGGATTGCACATTTTTTTTTCAATAGAATCGCAGAGAAAACCATAAGTGTTTCTCAAGCAGCACCAAATCTTTATTTTATTAAAATAGGTTTATTCCGCGAAAAGTTGTGACTATAATTTTGAACTGGTGGTACAATTTATTGAATGCTGGCGTTGAGTCTTTATTTAATTTTAATCTTATTTCAGAAATCGTTATAAAAATATTATTCTATATTGATGTAATAATACTACAAAACAGTATTATTTTCATAATATTGGCATAATACAATATCATCTATGTTTGAAAAAGTACAATAATTTACTAGTGCCATCGATAAATGGTGTTATGCAAATGTAATGCAAAAATTCGAGTAGTGTTTATTTTTCCTGAAGATGTGTGTAAACTGCTACTGATCTTTATATTGTTCGTATGAAGAATAACTCATATATCATATATTTTTGAGCCACTGAAAACGTCATTCAGAGGTGCTTGAAGTTGGGCTGCGTTGGGAATATAGCGACGGTAAAAGTTTAGCATGCCTAAGAAACGTCTTAGTTCTTTGACGGTTTTTGGAACAGCGTATTGCTTGATAGTTTTGAATTTGCCTGCCTTTTACCTGCAGCTGACACGTGGTATCCCAGGAACTCGACTTCTGGTTTGCCAAGTGTACACTTGGCAGTGTTTACCACTACGCCGTACTGCTTTAGGCGTTTGAAGAGTTGCCGCAAATGGTTCTTTTGCTCTTGGATTGATGACGAAAATACTAAAATGTCATCTATATTTCTTGCAACACCTCGTCAATGATCCTCTATAAAGTTTGTGCTGCGTTTCTTAAGCCAGTTAAGTAATTCATAAACGGGAGGACTTAAGTAGTTCATAAACGGCAATTCGTACAATCCAAATGGAGTCGTGATCGCCGTTTTCATGATGTTATCTGGATTGACAGTAATCTGATTGTACACCTTGACTATCCGTCGTGGATATGACGCATGGGATATCGATCAGGTATAGTTCTATAGTTCAGTGCTCTGTAGTCTCCACATGGTCTGCAACTATCATCTTTTTTCTTACCATGTGCAGAGGAGAAGACCAAGCGCTTTTCGATGGTCTGGCTATGCCACTGGCGAGCAGGTCTGAGAACTCCTGTCGAGGTGGCTACTGGAGGTCCTAGAGTCGTCCTGATGTGGTGCAGAGTGTTATGTTTGCATGGTAAGTGCATACCTGGAGGGCGAGTAATCTCGGGGAATTCACGCAGTATTTGGTAAAATTCGGTTTCTCCGGTGACTGACTTCACCGAAGCGATGTCCTCCGTTGATGTGCAAGCTACGGCGTTGACCGAGAGAGTAGTGATATTGTCAATTAATCGTTGATTCCTACAGTCGACGAGTAAATTGTAGTAGCTGAGGAAGTCAACTCCCATGATCGGTCGTGTCACATCGACTATTGTGAATTTCCATGCGAAATTCCGTCTCAATCCTAGATTGAAGTGTAACGTTATCGGTCTGTAGGTGTGTATGATTGTGTTGTTAGCAGCTATACCTGGATTAATAACAGGGCGTCTTGACTGCTGACCGGGAAAAAACATACAGGTCTGAACCAGTGTCCACGAGGAACTGCATTTTTGATGTCCGATCAGAGATGAATAAACGGCCTGTTGAAGAGGGGTAGCCGTTGGCCGTTACTTGCGACTGATCCGGTGGAAGCTTTTCGGGTCTGAATTTCCTTGAGTTGCACCGCGATTGAAACCGCGTGCGTGAAGGGTTCACTGGCGTAGTACATGATAGGTCTTACGCAAGCTTTGTAAAGGAGGAGCTTGTCATCAGTTTGCGCTTACTGTTAACGAGTGAGTGGAGTTGACTAGTGACGAATTTGGCACGATTGCGGACGGTGCGAATGTCCTCTGCTTAGGCCATGGCGTGGTCGAATGTGGCCTCAAGGTATTTGGCGGTTGTTTACTACCCGCGTTTGGATTGCTTTCCTTCCCTCCAACCGTGATGGTCTCTCGACATGCCATATGAATAATATTTGTGATCTCATCAATGAACCCATCTCACTCTGTGGGTGATAATGTTGTTAAGTAAATGCTAAGGATATCTGGTCATGCTTTTTGGACTTGTATTAGAAAGTTGATGTATTGTTCTAGTTATTGGTATAGAGTCATGGTAATTTATTTTGTACACTATAGCATTGTGTCGTGATGTGGTGTGGGGTTAACTTGCCAATCAGTAATGAGCTAGGAATGTGATTCAGAGACGAGGGTAAGATCGATGATGGAACTACGACACCGGCCGTGTGTGACCGTCTCAAACGTGGGTGTATGTCCGACTTCCACACTGCTAAACCGTTACCGTATACTAAGTCTATAATGTCGTTTTCCCCGACTTACACACTGCTAAACCGTTACCGTATACTAAGTCTATAATGTCGTTTTCCCCGACTTACACACTGCTAAACCGTTACCGTATACTAAGTCTATAATGTCGTTTTCCTTAAAGTTAGAGACGGATTATTAGACTTGCGGTTACAAACACATAGTATATACACATAACATAAGCTTTATTTTGTAAAAAGTAGTTTTACTTACGTGGAATATGAATTCTACTAAATAAATAATATTTGCTAATGAATAACTAATTAAAAACAAGCCAATAAAAGAAGAAACCTAACATAACCTTTTCTACCTATAAAATATGTACAGAGAGACTTTATATTGCTCCAAAATGCTCCTTTAATATAATCATTGGTTTTAACATTCGTGCGGAGTCAGCTCTTATCATATTAATTTTCTCCTGCCTCATAAGAGTGTCGTCCATTTGTGCTATGTTATCAAACTCTACGCGCAACTTGTTGTTTGAAACGGGTTTAATTTTCACCGGTGGGTAGTTGAAGTCTCTGTACCATATATTGTGACGAAAGAGTTCAACTGCCTCTTGTCTTGTCTTGACCTTGGTCGCCGGAGTAACAATGATGACCGGCCTGGATATAGGCACTGCAGGGTGAGGGGTAGCTTCTTGGAGGGGTTGCAATTGGTTGTTGCTTTTATGAGGCTTTGCGTCGCCTTGAATATTTCTTTTATAGCATTTTTAATAAGGGTTTTGCTTGCTGAAGTGACACTCTTTTCCTGTATTGCTTTACCGATACATTCTATTAACTTTTTAATAACCAGAGCGAAGGATTCTATGTCTGTGAAGTCCTCAGCTGAAGCCGGAAAGGAGGGGGTGAATTCTGAGACAATAGCATTGTGTCACCATTTAATAAAAACTGTCAACAACTGTCGTCAGATTGTCACCAATGTAACGACTCGTAACCGGGTGAAGTGCTAACGCATGAGCGGTAAAGTACCCAGGTTATAATGGATCACTAATCATAGGTGTACACAGTATCTTTGAACATAAAATATATACTTTCTGTCTTATAGCCGTGGCTTAATTCGGCATTCCGTGATGTCGTTTTTTACAATTTTCTCTTTTCTGGGTGTAATCTTGTTATGTACGTTGTATTTTTTAAGACACATTCTTTTAAAATGTCTTTTCGCACCACACAAATTGATCCTCACAGGTGATAACGCATCTGAATTTTGATTCGTAATCGAGGATAGATGTAGATGTCTATGGGCCACAGCAACCACTGAAAATCAGGTGGACCGTGTGCTCGTTTGATGAAAAAAAAAATGAAATTTCATCTGATGCTATGAAAAAAAGCTTAACCTCACCTGTCGTGCGGGCCCCTTCCAACGCCAGGTCCGTAGCCTCCATATGCGTCATTATACTATCATAAAGGTAGTCGTAATAAGGCCTCCTGTAACCTGTATATTTATATACATCGTATCTACTTACGTATCCTTCGTCGTATGTATTTAGGTCTGGGTAATATCCATCGTAATACGGCCTCCATTCTCTATAAAGATTGTCCACTGAAAATGGTGTTTGAAATTTCACCCTCTTCCTTTCACTTTTTACAGCAGACACAACTTTCTCACATTGGACACACTCATCTTTATCTGTTACTTTTTCTGTCTCTTTTAACTTCTCACCAATTGATTCCCATTTGTGAATACAATTATCGAGACTTTTACTAACTTTATTTAAATGCACTGCTGATATAGATCTTTTAACAGGATGTGCTGTTTTTTGTAGAGGTTTTGTGTGTGCATCGGAATCTGTATGCAGTTCCTGCACTTCATTTACTGTTACTTTATTTACTATTTTGGGTTTATGTAACCTTTTAAACACTGAAATTATTTGAGGATTTTGAACTTTTGCGGTACTTTGTGTTGCTTTTGGAGGTTGAATAATTTTTCTATTTTCATTCGGTTTAGTCAGAGTTCTGAATGATCTTGAAGTTAAGCCAGACTTGGAAGTAGCTGGTGAAAAGTCTTTACGAATTGAATATGCTTCTTTCTTATTATACTTCTTTAAATTTAGTTCATGTAACTGCAAATAAATAAGCAACACATTAGTTATTCCTAACAGAGAAACACAGCTAACGCAGATACTTAATAGAAAGGTAGTTGAAAGCTGATGACGATAAGATGCATCTTTGCTTCAATGAAAACACAACACTAGTTGATTTTTCTCTATGCAAGAAAGTCCTCTCCCACAAATGCTGGAGCATAATCTATAATCATTTATCATAAATATACTGTATAGTAAAGGCATAATTTTAGGCTTAACTTTAAATAGGGCAAGATGTATAAATTATGCTATTTATAAATTTCTGTTTTGTACCACTATCATATATAAAAACTTACATGGGACATTTTATAGTGTTACTAATATTGTAGATGACTAATTGTTATATAATAGTATATATCTATAGTTTATAGTCCCCAGCTTAATAAAAAAAATTATAACATTTTACCAGCAGAGTGATTGCCATACATTTTCTGGCACAAAACCAAGTTAATTGATTACTGTCGGCACTAACAACATTGTTAATTACAAATTTTGTTTATTTACCAAATGCCCGGCAATTATTAGAGAAAAGAAAAGGAGAAATGTGAAAAATAAACAGGACAGACAACATACACTAAAATCACTAAATATTAAGTACCTCAATCTATTTACAGAATAATAGAAACTTCAAATACCGTCATCTGTTATAATAAATGACGGTTTAAACCTTTTTTCGGTTGAGACGAGCTTTGAGGGAGATGCTTGCGTTTAGGGGCCTGGCTAAGCGGCAATGGCCGTGTGGCGATAAAGCCTCCGGCATTGCTATGGCTATGCCTTGGGTTTCGGGGCTAAAGGTGCAAAAGTATTATAACCGTGCACGGGGACGACGATGACGGGAGCGGGCACCGAAGATGGTGCGAGTTTCGGGGCTGGCAGCTGACAACGCGACACACGTCTTGATCCACATGTCTGAGACGACTTTTACCTGCACACTGTTTTGGTCTCGGCGCTTTGGAACTCCCGCGATAGTTTGCTGGGTGTCCGTCTTCGCGGCAACTAACGCAGCTCGTAACCTATGCTATCTCGGGCTTGCGGTTGCAGTTCCGGTAGTTCCGTGATCGCCTAGGAACTTGATGCCCCTAGGTCTGGTGTAGCAGGTTCTGGCCGAGTGACTGTAAAGTTGGCCCTGCCCCAATTTCAAGGCTTTAATTGTAATCCCAGTTACAGACAGACATTGAATATTTTCCTGCCTTTCGAAGACAGGTCTAAGATTAAATTGTGGTCGGTCTGGTGGTGTATTCTATGAATTTCCGGGAGAGAGCGGGAGAGTTTGGGTCTTGAGATCGTCTAGTATCTAGTTCTGCGTAGATCGAACCAAAAATTAATATTTAAAAATTGAAAGTATCCTTCGTTAACGTCGTAAGGGACTGAGGTATTTGATATCAGTACGAGTCCTTTACCAAAGAAAAAAAAAAGGTTGATTAATATCAGACTTCTAATTATTGCTTTGAGAAGGGTAGTGGTAAGGATTTTTTTGGAAAGACGTCACTTAAAAGGTTGATCAGAAATTTTGCAGACAATTTATGCTAATAGAAAAACTATTTTATTTTTATATGAATTTTCTTGTCTTTTCAGTGCTGGACACAAAAATGCACACAAGTGAACTTTAAAACTATTTATTTGTGGCAACAATTTCCGTAACGGGAGCTGTTTAATAAATAGTATTTTCAGTTTCGGACTGAACTATTCCAATATTATCTGCCACTTTATTCTACAAGTGCATGTGTATGAAGGAAACAGTGAGCACGTTATATTTTATCCCGATACCTATTGTAAAATTCGTACGGGATTAATATATATATATATATATAGGGCTATACACATACATCATTCGACTAGTCAAGTAGAATTATGAAAATTTGTTTAATTTGATTTGTTAACGGTAATTTGTTGTGGACATTCATGATCATTTTTAGTCTTGGTATTGTGTAATTTTAAAGTTGTGTAGTTTTCAATTTTACAACTTTATCAGGGCTTTCACTTTTATGTGTAGGGCTAACATGGCACATGAGAAGCCTTTAAATAATAAGATGTATATAATTATATACGTATATGTATTGTATATGTAATGTATTTTGATTTAAGTCAAAATGACTTTACCTACATGATGTGTTAGATGGCGCATTTAGAAAGCAAATTTAGTCTTAATTTTCTGAAGGTGTTTAATTCTACCGCATGTGAATTGCACATATATTTATTTTTTCAATAGAATCGCAGAGAAAACCATAAGTGTTTCTCAAGCAGCATCAAATCTTTATTTTATTAAAATTCCGCGAAAAGTTGTGACTATAATTTTGAACTGGTGGTACAATTTATTGAATGCTGGCGTTGAGTCTTTATTTAATTTTAATCTTATTTCAGAAATCGTTATAAAAATATTATTCTATATTGGTGTAATAATACTACAAAACAGTATTTATTTTCATAATATTGCCATTATACTATACCATCTATGTCTGAAAAAGTACAATAGTTTACAAGTGCCATCGATAAATGGTGCTGAGCAAATGTAATGCAAAAATTCGAGTAGTGTTTATTTTTCCTGGAGATGTGTGTAAACTGCTACTGATCTTTATATTGTTCGTATGAAGAATAACTCATATATCATATATTTTTGAGCCACTGAAAACGTCATTCAGCGGTGCTTGAAGTTGGGCTGCGTTGGGAATATAGCGACGGTAAAAGTTTAGCATGCCTAAGAAACGTCTTAGTTCTTTGACGGTTTTTGGAACATCGTATTGCTTGATAGTTTCGAATTTGGACTCAAGTGGTTTAGTACCTGCAGCTGACACGTGGTATCCCAGGAACTTGACTTCTGGTTTGCCAAGTGTACACTTGGCAGTGTTTACCACTACGCCGTACTGCTTTAGGCGTTTGAAGAGTTGCCGCAGATGGTTCTTTTGCTCTTGGATTGATGACGAAAATACTAAAATGTCATCTATATATCCAAAAGGAGTCCTTGCAACACCTCGTCAATAATCCTCTATAAAGTTTGTGCTGCGTTTCTTAAGCCAGTTAAGTAATTCATAAACGGGAGGACTTAAGTAGTTCATAAACGGCAATTCGTACAATCCAAATGGAGTCGTGATCGCCGTTTTCATGATGTTATCTGGATTGACAGTAATCTGATTGTACACCTTGACTATCCGTCGTGGATATGACGCATGGGATATCGATCAGGTATAGTTCTATAGTTCAGTGCTCTGTAGTCTCCACATGGTCTGCAACTATCATCTTTTTTCTTACCATGTGCAGAGGAGAAGACCAAGCGCTTTCCGATGGTCCGGCTATGCCACTGGCGAGCAGGTCTGAGAACTCCTGTCGAGGCTTACTGGCTACTGGAGGTCCTAGAGTCGTCCTGATGTGGTGCAGAGTGTTATGTTTGCATGGTAAGTGCATACCTGGAGGGCGAGTAATCTCGGGGAATTCACGCAGTATTTGGTAAAATTCGGTTTCTCCGGTGACTGACTTCACCGAAGCGATGTCCTCCGTTGATGTGCGAGCTACGGCGTTGACCGAGAGAGTAGTGATATTGTCAACTAATCGTTGATTCCTACAGTCGACGAGTAAATTGTAGTAGCTGAGGAAGTCAACTTCGATGATCGGTCGTGTCACATCGACTATTGTGAAATTCCATGCGAAATTCCGTCTCAATCCTAGATTGAAGTGTAGCGTTATCGGTCTGTAGGTGTGTATGACTGTGTTGTTAGCAGCTATACCTGGATTAATAACAGGGCGTCTTGACTGCTGACCGGGGAAAAACATACAGGTCTGAACCAGTGTCCACGAGGAGCTGCATTTTTGATGTCCGATCAGAGATGAATAAACGGCCTGTTGAAGAGGGGTAGCCGTTGGCCGTTACTTGCGACTGATCCGGTGGAAGCTTTTCGGGTCTGAATTTCCTTGAGTTGCACCGCGATAGAAACCGCGTGCGTGAAGGGTTCACTGGCGTAGTACATGATAGGTGACTTAGGCGCGCAAGCTTTGTAAAGGAGGAGCTTGTCATCAGTTTGCGCTTACTGTTAACTAGTGAGTGGAGTTGACTAGTGACGAATTTGGCACGATTGCGGACGGTGCGAATGTCCTCTGCTTAGGCCATGGCGTGGTCGAATGTGGCCTCAAGGTATTTGGCGGTTGTTTACTACCCGCGTTTGGATTGCTTTCCTTCCCTCCAACCGTGATGGTCTCTCGACATGCCATATGAATAATATTTGTGATCTCATCAATGAACCCATCTCACTCTATGGGTGTTAATGTTGTTAAGTTAATGCTAAGGATATCTGGTCATGCTTTTTGGACTTGTATTAGAAAGTTGATGTATTGTTCTAGTTATTGGTATAGAGTCATGGTAATTTATTTTGTACACTATAGCATTGTGTCGTGATGTGGTGTGGGGTTAACTTGCCGGTCATTGATGAACTGGGAATGTGATTCAGAGACGAGGGTAAGAACGATGATGGAACTACGACACCGGCCGTGTGTGACCGTCTCAAACGTGGGTGTATCCCCGACTTACACACTGCTAAATCGTTACCGTATACTAAGTCTATTATGTCATTTTCCCTATCGTTATAGACTTGACTGATCCAAACGCAGTGCCAGTCATTGAAATCTCCTTCTATTATTTTAAAGAAGTTGTCTGTTGCCGTGAGGAAGGTATCTCATTTGTCCATGGTGCCTAGTTCATCCCTATCCGGCTCTACATATATCGACACTATATACACGCTGCAGTTCCCCACTTTAAGGCGTATTGTGTACATACTATGGTGTAAAATATAGTGATAAACTTATAATTGATCCGCATCCTCGTTTAGCCAGGATGCAGGCTTATCTTTGGTATCCAATGGAAACTGATGTACTTGTATGCCGTGAAGGGCTTTGAGTTTTATACCCGATCTGACATATGGTTACGACACTAGTGTAACGTCGTATCTGCCATCCATGAAGGATACTAAAACCTTTTAGGCTGTTCTTAGATT